GTTCCCGGTCGTCCGACGGGCCGCGGGACCCTGAGATGGGCGTGGGTTCTTGGCCAGCTTGTCACGCAGCGTCCCGGTGTCCTGCTGTGGCCACTCCGCGGCCCGGAGTCGAGTTCACAAGATCTGGGGTTCTGAGTGCACCGGGTACCTGGACACCTCGTGCTTGCTGTGTCCCGGGCATCCCCAGCCTTCCAGCTCGGAACCGACTCGGGGGTGGGAGACCAGCTGTTCTCCAAGTCTTGCTGTCGTTGTCAAGAGGTTGAATGACCTTGCGTGGCCCTTTAGGTGCCCTGGTTCAACTGCCTGGTGTCTTTGCGGCCGTTGTTGTTCTTTGACTCGTCGGCCTGTGTTTGGTGCACTTTCTTCTTCCTGAAGCTTGTTCTAGCATCCTGACACTCCCTTAGCGGTTTGAATCCTAGGCAGGCCCCATCTTCAGTTTGATTATGAGCTGTGATTATTTATTTCTATGGGAGATGTGAGCAAAACATTAAAAGAATTTTTTCTTTTTTGTAGTGTAGCCTGTTAATTTTGTATGAGTCCATTTAGGTTAGACGTATTGGACTGACTCTGAATGTCGTTTTGCTGTCTTCAGAAAATGCCAGCAGGTAGCTTGGAAACATCCAGAAGAACCTGGAATCTGTCGGTGTGTTAGTTTTTAAGTGCGTTCTTGTAAAGTCTGGAAGAACTCTTGAGTATTAGTGGTCCCCCGCCTTTCTTCTATTTAAAACTGTAGCAGATCATTCTATTATTGAGTTTCTTAATAGGTAAATTGTATTGCTATACAGGTGTTCACAACCAAATCTCGTGCTGGCCTGCTCGCTTTCTTACTCCTCTTGTTCGTTACTGGTCTTTACAATGTTTAAAATATTGGCTTGCTTATTTTGAGTGTATTGTACGTGTGGGTGTTTGCATAGCAAGGGATACTTGTAGTCAGTGGGAGGACAGCTTGCAGGGATCTTTCTCACCATCCACCACGTGAGATCTCCCTCAGTCCTCAGGATTGGCAACAAATGACTTTAACCCGTTGATCCATTACTCTTTAAAGCCACCTTTTGGTGGACTTCGAAATTACATTTGTAAAACATGGAGGGATAAACAACCAAAGCATTCGTGGATCTTACTATTTATGACCAGAAATAACGTGCATGCTGAGTGTGATACTATAATGTTGGAATCACAGTTGATGTTCAGAGGGAGAGGGCGGGGTCATCTCTTTTCCCACTTTAAGTTTTTGATTTTGTTGTTTTGAGTAATTTGGGAGCAGAGGTGAGTTGTCGGGGAAGTTCCTTTGATCACAAATTTCGGGTATACAAAGTTACAAGCAGCTTGTGACTATCAGTGCTGAGAAAAGATACTCATGTTCTCTTCATGAGAAAAGTATGTTCTCGATGTTTGGATAATGGTATAAAAATACTATTTGGCTCTTTAACTTTTGTTCCACACTCAACCTTTTTAGAGATCTCCTTAAAATTTAGGAATTTTTAATTATTTTTGCATTTTTCTTGAATAGTAATTAATTTTTTTTGGTTGTTGTTTCATTATCTTCAGGTTTATTTTTTATTTATTCATTTGTTTATTTTGAGCCAGGGTCTCTTGACATAGCCCTGGCTGTTCTGGAAATCAATATGCAGACCAGGCTGACCTCGAACTCCTAGAGATCTGACTGCCTCTGCCTCCCAAGTGCTGGGATTAAAAGTGAGGGTCACAGTGCCTGGCTCTTATTTATTTTTAGGATTTATTTATTTTTATTTACCATATTTGTGTGTTTGCCTGTCTGTGCCCCACGCACATGTTGTGCCTGAGTAGACTGGAGGAGGCTGTAGGATCCCATGGTGGTGTGGGAGAATTGTATTCTGTCAATCATATTTTAATAAAACGCTGATTGGCCAGGCAGGCAGTATAGGCGGGAAAGCCAGACAGGAAGTAGGGGTGGAGCAAAGAGACTGGGAGTATTCTGGGATGCAGGAAGCTCCCTCCGCCAGTTCTGCCCAGACCACCGGAGGGGAAAGATGTAAGCTTCCCCGCTGGAAAAGGTACTGAGCCATGTGCTAACGTAGATAAGGATAATGAGGTAACATAAGTTATAAGAGCTAATAAGTAGCCTGACCTATTGGGCCAATCAGCTTTATAACTTATAGAGATCGCTGTGTGATTGATTTTCTCTGGGACTTGCCTGCTGTGGGGTACTGAGCGGGAACAGATACCCCAACAAGCAGGCCCCCTCATGTTACACCATGGAACTAGACTGTGGACCACCATGTAGGTTCTGGGACCTGCTCAGATCCTATGGAAAAGCAGTCCTTGCTCTAATCACTGAGCTATCTCTTCAGCCCCCGATAATTTCAGATTTAAACACTCACTAATACTTAAAAAAAACAAAACAAAACTGTTAAGTCACTTTCTTTAAAGGAAGAGTTTCTGGTTTTCCTCTTCAGAGTTAGCTGAATAATAGCAAACTAGCCTGGTTCCTTGGGGCTTACGTGTGATATCTGTCCTCAGCCTGGGGCAGGCTGAGCTACCTCCAAAATATGGCCTAGCTAATGGCAGAAATAGTCAGAATGGTCTTAGGTGCTTTTTTTTCCCTTCCAGCTGTCAGTCTCTCTTACCACTTCTGCCTTGGGTTACAACATCACTACCCTTCTTTGCATGAGTATCTGGTTTGTAGTTGGGGTTCCGCTCACAGGCTCTCTCTGATGAGTCAGCAGTATGTAGCTGTTTGACCTCAGATAATCTGGTGTGGGAGAATTGTCTGTATTCTGTCAATCATATTTTAATAAAACACTGATTGGCCAGGCAGGCAGTATAGGCGGAAAAGCCAGACAGGAAGTAGGGGTGGAGCAAAGAGACTGGGAGTTTTCTGGGACACAGGAAGCTCTCTTGCCACTCCTGCGCAGACCACTGAAGAGGCAACATGTAACTTGCTCAGCTGAGAAAGGTACGGAGCCATGTGCTAACATAGATAATGATAATGGATTAATGTAAGTTACAAGGACTAATAAGGAGCCTGATCTGATGGGCCAATCAGTTTATAACCTTATGGAGTCCTGTGTGTAATTTCTCTTTGGGATTTGCCGGCTGTTGGGGTACAGGGTGGGACGGAAACCCCAACAAGCCGGCCCTCATGCTACAATAATCATTGCGGGAGGGGGGGGAAATGAATGGAGGTTTGCAAGCAATAAGATTAACTTTAAGCATTCAACAGGATACTCCTTAGGAAGTGCTGAGAGATCAAAACTGAGTTAAAAATGGTTTTCAAACCTGGTATTTGATTGGTGCTTCAGCAAATGTTAGGGAGATTTCAGTATGTCTTAGGGTTTGTATTGCAGTGAAGAGACACCATGACCACAGTAACTCTTATGAAGGAGAACATTTAACTGAGTGCCTTACAGTTTCAGAGGTTCAGTCCATTATCATCACGGTGGGATATGGTAGCCTGTGGGCAGACATGGTGCTAGAGAGGGAGCACATTTTACATCTTGATCCACAGGCAACAGGAAGTGAACTTGGACACTGAGCATGACTTGATCATATGTGGGACCTCAAAGCCCACCTCCACACTTTCTTCAACAAGGCCAGCAAAGCCACACCTGCTAGTATGAGCTTATGGGGGCCACTCTTTATGAGTTTATAGGGGCCAATTCATTCAAACTACCACAGCATAAGATGTAAAAGTGCTGGAATTAAAGGCCACCACCTTCCAGCATTTTGTAAATTCTTTAAAATTTTAGCTTTATTTTATTTTATCTATTTGAGTGTTTTGCTTGCGTGTATGTATGTGTATCATGTGAGTGCCAGGAGCCACTGGCGGTCAGAAGAGGGTGTTGGATGCCCTGGAACTGGAGTTAGATGACCCATGTGGTTGCTGGGAACAGAACACAGGTCCTCTGCAAGAGCAGCTACTGAGGCATTTCCCCAACCCTTGTAAACTCTTTTAGTTTACATTTAGTTTAGTGTTTCATTGCTTACTGTTCATTATTCAAAATGATTATTTGAGACTTGTAAATCTTTCTTATATACAACCACTTGCTTTTTCATTATCCCATTAAAACAGTAATTAGTAATATCAATTTATATAGTAAGTTTGCTCTCATCACCAGTTGAGTAAATAGTCCTGGAAGCACCCTTCTTTGAACCAAATAGTATTTGTTATCCTAGACACAGACTTAGATGAAAGGAAGCCCTTCCAGTTTGTTATTTTTATTTTTTGACAGTTATGTTGAATAAGTGAATGTAGCAAAACTTTAGGCACAATGTGTGGAGTCTATCTTAAAGATATAACCTCAGAAGAAATACTAAAGGCAGTTATGGAGAAAGTATGACCTTATTTTGTTGCACTTAGTTAAAAATTAGTGTGCATTCCTTTCCACTGAAACTGTTTTACTGTTCTTGAATCCGGTAAGCAGTAGTGAGGCTCAGTGGCCTGAGTGTGCTTGGCCTGTCTTGGGCTCCCTCAAGAGGGACACTCAGCCCCCTGAGCGAGGTAGCTCTGCCTTGGGCTGCTGCAGGAGGGGCACTCGGACACAAATGCCAGCTCCACAAACATTTTTTTTTTCATTTGAAGTGCATTGTAGATATACGCTCC